ATTCATCGACTGTGTATTATTGTAATTATCAATTACCACAGTACTCTTAATTGTTGTTGTACTTGATATATATATTAGGTTACTTCGGGATAATTAGATTTTGCAACCAAGATAGTTAAGCAAAATGTCTTGACTTTTACTGTAAGTTAATCTCGATGTTACTATTTTTTGCCAGTTCTGCTCCAAATCCGACATAACCCAACACCACACTTTAGATGTTATTATCTTGATTTTTACTGTAAGTTGTAAACCTGATACTATGTTGTTCTCGATCTTACTATCCTTTGCCAATTCTGCTCTAAATCTAACCCAACCCAACACCACACCTTGGTTGTTGTCTAAAAAACCCAACTATTCAAAAATAACTGTTGTTATTAAAAGAAACAGCTCAATCTGATATTCAATCAAACGCAACCCATTTAACAAGAGTTAAAATCATTAAAAGGATATTTGGCTTTGGAGGAAAGAGGCTATAAAGAGGGTTGGCAGATGCAAAGACAATGGAAAAGACTAATAATAGAAAAGACTAAGGAGAGATTAGAAAGATACTGGACAGAAATCAGGAAAATTGGTAATAGAAGATAAACACCGATCATATACTGGATAAGAAAAAAAGCATTTTCTCTGGAGGGAGAGGTGCTGGAGAGTCACTATAATGAAAAGGAGGACACGAAACTGACTAGACAAAGACTGATAATATAAGAAATAAATTCAACAGAGACTCGAAAAATAGGAAGGAAATTAGCTAGAAAGAACTGGGACTTTCAAGGGCAAGAAAAGTAGTTGAGAGAGAAGCGGAAGATTGGAAAGACACTAGTTCTTATCAGTGAAATTAGGTGAAGAAGTACTGGCGATCCTTATCTGAAGCGATCTGTTAAAAAAACTTCATCAATTAGAATAATTATTTTTCTTTTGTAGGTAACCTTAGCTTTATTTGTGATCAGGAATAACGTGTTCGATTTCTTCGAACTCCTTAATTTAACAAAACCCTGTTCCTTCATCGGATTTGCTCTCATCTACATGCTATCTTCTTCTTTTTTGGCGTTCAATACTTCTTTTGCCGTTAGGTGACTTGTCTCTTGCCACTCGCACAAGTTTGTTAGATACCATTCTGTTGATGTGTTAATCTATTCTTGTTTTCTGTTTAGTACCCATTTGTTTACATTTTCTACAATTCCATTCTTATATCTTCACTTCACTCTCTGTCCTATAAGGTTTTCCGCAAAATCGTGATAAGAATTTTCATTTCAGCTGTCTCAAAAAGTCTTCTTGTTTTTGATTTATCTGGTATCTTGTCGCCTTTCCGCTAAAACTTCATTTTTTGCTAAATTACTTGACCATCGATTTCTATCATGCATCTAAAGGGTTCTTACACGTGATGATTTGTCTTAATTGTAACTATAATTCTAAGTTAAGTTTTCTTAAGTTACGTTTTGTCGTCAGACTTTTTAGTGGAGTTGAGTGTTTCCTTTAATGATGTACTTTGCACATCATTCATCTTTGTCGATATCAATAATTTTCAACCAATCCGCCACAATGCTGTTGTTAATGCTGATTAATACATAATAATCTTTCCGGTTAAAACATTGTCTACCCCGTTGTATTTTCACAAAAAATAATTTTGTACTCTTGTTCATTACACGATATTCACCATAATACTGACTTTTTCCATAATGCTTTGTATATTGATGCACATTTTAATCAATAAGGACTTTATAATCACCACAAACATCATCACTATGTTTGTATTTTCTGCAAAAAAATGCCAAATGATAAAATTTTCAATAAGTTTCGCTAACACTGGCAGGTACCTTATTCACTAACTCCTTCACAACAGCCTACAAAAATGTTTTTTCAGCACTAGGTATGCTGTGCTGGGTGATTACACTTTTTTGTTACAATTATTTTTTGATTATAAGAGAAGCAGAAATAAACATTTTTTTAACGATTAACCGCATTTTCATATCATGTGTATTGATTTGATATGAAGTAAATCATAAACAACGTGATTAACGCGAACTACTTTTTAAAATAAAATCTACAGTCTTTAAACGTTGTAGATTGTATTTTGATTATGTAAGTTGTGGCAGATTCAATCATACCTACAATTTGTTTTGAACATGCATGCAAATGAAAACCGTGTTGTAAAAACTAAGTTTCGTAGAGAAACATGCATAATTTTCAGTTATCTTTACGAATAGGGGATTATACAACATGACTAAAAAACTACTTAGAATATGTTAAATATATTTCCTTACGATATATACATGGATTAAATAGTTGATTCTAATCCATCAAGATTTAACCCGATGGTGAAAGCAATAAAAACGTGAATCCATTTTCTTCAAACGTTGGGACCGTATTGTTTCGTAATTGAAAGGGTTTGCCAACAATTTAGCTCGGGATTCCTTTAGCGACAGGTTAAATATATAAGCCGCTTTGTGCCTCCCGGTGTTATTATTTTCTGGTAAATGAGACGCTTAATGAAGACGGATGTGCCAGCCCTAATGTTGGCCGTTTTCTCCAGTTTTTCCACTTTACCCTCTACCCTAAGGGCGGGACCGTTGAGTTTAAATTAAACGGCCGATTGCGAATTTTAAACGAAATCCTAAACAAGACAACAAATAATGCTTTTTTGTAAAACTTTTTGTGAAGTTTCATTTACTGATCCAATTTCAATGGAACCAACCCCGATAGTACTATAACTGTCTAGATGGTAGTGTCACAACCCCTGTATAAACTGACATGATCGTACTCACGATCCACTTTGTTCGCACGCACATAGGGGGTTACGTTTATGGCAAATTGATTCGCAGTGCATTTGGATCTCATGGGGTGGGCAGCTATGGAGAGGAGGAGAGAACCTGTTGCCAGTAAATTGAATCGGTGCCCCCTTGTGTAAGTTATGGCGATTCAGTCGTTATTTCCCCTATTCAGCAGCGCGCTTTTTCTGGGGGACAAACTCAAACGGTGATAGACGTCTGGTGCACCGCATGTAGCGCCTGCAGCTGACAGAAACGGTATTGTTTTCGTTTGACTTTTCCCTGCCCACGCTATCGAGATTTTCAGTAGCGAGTGTTTGTGGCACACAAAGTGAATACTTGAGAAATATAGTAATATTTTCTTCTATCATCTAAGTTAATGAAATTTCTTTCTAATTGTTAATTCGATCCGAATTATTCTGGGTAAAATATATCCCGGTTGAGATTAGCCGGGGAAAAACATTTTGCAAATGCAACCGCTCGCTCTGATGTAAATTCACTTTTCAATTTCAGGTGAGCCGTGTAGGGTTTCGCAGCCGACGCGGTCTCCCCCCTGTTCCCCCTAATGGCTACATTCAATTTCATTTCATATGTGGGGGGCAATATGGGGGCAGATGGTGGCGCAGTTATTTAAAATATCGCGCCACGTCCGGCCGTGTCGGCTTTCCCTCATAGTTCACTCGAAAACGAGAAATCGATCCGGAATCCTTTGTACAAAGCTCGCGCGGCGTTACAATGCTGCGTTAATTTCCACACAATAGCTACAAAGCTTTTTTAATGCTGAAACTAACACTGTAACATCCAAGTACATATAATTATATCACTTTTATTATGAATATAATATTCTATGTGGAGATTTAAAAAAATTGTTATATAAATTTTGCTGTATAAAATATAGTAACGGTTTTAGACGAATCTGTTGCAATGAAGGTGGGGACGCATGGTGCTCGGGGGAGTGCTGATGGGCGTGAGCATCAATGCTTATCGTTTATGATGGATTTCAAGGCGGCATGTAGCCCTAACGATATGCAGAAAGGAAATTAAAGATGAACCGATAAGTTTGCACGGCGCAGCGCGTCGTCGTCGACAAAAAGAGTGGTTCTCAGTCCGAGATTAATATTTAACGTCTCAGGATGCTCATTTCTCGTCCCAACACTTATTCAGCTTATTACCTTTGTTAAGTTTAATGGGCTATTATTAAAGAAATAAAGTTTCCTAGCGTTTAAGTGTTTTCATTTAATTCAATAATGTTTTCATTAACAAACAGGATTAACAGTCGATTGGAGCCTGCAATAATTATTATTAATATTTGAATGTTGCTCGCGTATATTAAACGTGTATGTAAATGCGATTCGGCGCTATGCAGTGTTTACAAAATGTCCGCGCGAGCTTTCAATTGGTGCTGGTAGAGCTTTCCAGTGTTTGCGTTGTCGATACTTTGCCCGTATTCTACGATCAAACAGCAATTTACTGCCGGGTCCACTTCGGATTAATAACGGACGGTGGAATTGCGTATGCACTCTAAATTTCAATCCACCGGAACTTAATATTAAAATGACTCGCTGTAAAAGCAAACGAAACAAAGCATTTTTTAGTTTATTTAACTATTATGTCATAATTTATTTCATAATAAAGTTTAATTAAATATCAATCTAAAATAAATAATGTAAACTTGTTCATTCACAAACCATTTTTATTTTCATTTTTGGTCCAAAGTACCAGTTTTAACAAAGAATTTATTTTATTATCCCTAATTTATGAGATTCAAGAACAAAAACAAACTTCTTACATTTACGACTACACACAGTTCGTACTTTTTTATTTAACATGTAGCTGTTTGTACATAGTAGAATAGTATTTTTTATGGGCCGCTATTAAAAACGACCGTAAATTGATATGAATAATGAATTTCGTGCGCAGGATTCGGGCCAGTTTCAATTTGAATTTCGTTGCCATGACCACCCGTAATCCTCATGAAAATATTTTCGTTTATGCTCTGGGCTTATTTGTACGTTTTTTTTTGTCGGATGTGTTATAAAAGATGCCCTGTCAATATTTACCGTATATTAGTGCAATATGTCCAATGTAATAATTTAGACTCGAATCAAAATGAATGTATTTTTTTATGAGAAAAATGTTTATATTTATTTGCGATGATGTTGAAATATTTTCATGCGAATTTTATTTTAGGTGTATGTTTGTATTAGATTTATAAATAGAAATAACTAAACGTAGAGCTAAGGTTTTTTATGTTCGATTCAGTTTATTTAATAGGCAGTTTTCATTATACATTTTTCATTTTCATACAAATTAGGAGAGATAAACAATATGTTCACCACTCTTTCGATACATATTAATTTAAAATGATACATATCACAATTCTATTGAACTATTCAAATTCATTGTCACGTTGTCAAGCGGTTCCGTTGTCCAACAATTTCGCATTTTTCTTAACTTACGTACTACCATTTATTACAATTCGTCATATAAAAATTAAGTTTAAGTTTAATGCGTACAGGTAACAATTATATTTTATAAGTTATAATCTGTAAAGGTACAAGGAAGAATTGGGACAATATACACATATTTATAAAAGCTCAGGATTTTACTAACAGGATTTATAATTTATATTTTATCTTAAGTAATATTTTGTTTTAATATTATGCGTTTATAGCGCTAATTAGCTTAAAATTTCTCTATCAACTTTCAATAACATTCAACGTTCTTCAACGTGTTTACTTGTCAATTGCCAACAGGAGGTCCGGTTATGTTTAAAATCGCTATACAAGGAGCAACAGGATTTAAAGGCACAAAACTCTGCAGCACAGGAGAGTTACCACGTGTATACTCGATTAAAGAGGATGAATACAAGCGAATGTCTACTTTTGTGCTATTTATGTACAACGATTTCGTTATTTGAGTCCAAAAAGTGCGATAATTAATTTCTGCTTTTAAACCTAGAGTGTATCGGGTTTTGCGGCAGTACGATTTTAATGCGTATTTGCTCGGAGAGGTCGAAATTTTCATAAATTTATTCGAATAAATAATACAAACTGAAAGTTGAAACAATAATGTTTTAGTTTGAAAGCGTCTGTTTGGTCTGAATATTAATTGGGGTACATGGATATCTATTAATTATATATTTTATTTGTAACGAAATGATTACTGAAATTCCAAAAAACGGTTTATTAATCCTCATATTGGAAGATAATATATAAATTTATTTAATATTTATAATCATTTTGGGAATACTTCGTTTTAAAATTTATCTTTAATTAAATCACAATTTGTCAGTAATCATTCCGTCTTTTTTTATGATTTTTTTATACATCAAAGTCAAATTTGTACACCTGCCCTGTTTTTCTCCGCTTTTTTACGAGTTTTTCTCGGTTTTATACCCAGAAAACAAACGGAAAAGGGTCGACACTTTAACTCCGCCATAAAGAACCATATCTGCCGTCTTTCCCTTATTGTCATCGGGCGTCGCAACGCCTGTGCCGGGGCTTTAGTCCCGTCAGTGAAGGTCCGGCGTGTACCCCAGATTCTTTCGCTGAAGGAAGAGATTGATTTCGCGGAAACTGGGTCTGTCTGACTCGTTTCTTTGCCAACACTCGCACATCAGATCGTAGATTTCCTTGGGACAGTTGATTGGAGCGCTCAAAAACATCTAAAATTTATACAAACAGTTAAGGCAAAAATAAAATAAACCTTCCTTTTTTACTTACATATTTACCGTCATCCTGATAGAAATGTGTCACATTTTCTATAACTTTATCATCGCTGAGTTCTTCGAAAGGTTGTTCCCGTGCAAACGTCAGCGTCTCCCATAAGGTAACCGCAAAAGACCACACGTCACTCTTGGTTGTAAACTTACTCTACAACAAAAATTAATAATAAATTGTTTCTAATTTTGTATTACTTACCAATAACACACTTTCCCAAGCCATCCACCTTATCGGTAATGGGAATGGACCCACAAATTGACAATAGTCGGAGGAGTATAAATCTCGATAGGTGCCCAAATCAGATATCTTGATCGAGTAACGTCTCCCAACCAAGCAGTTCCTGTGGGAGAACAAGTTTTCTTATATAAAGTGACTTCTTAAGTGATTGGCAGAAATGCTTTTCAAACTTTGACTACCTTATAAATCTATAAAACGTTTTGGGAAAACGGGGTTTGGAAATTAGGGAATAATATTTCTGTTCACGTCTGTACTATATTTTCTATGACCCACGTTTTCGAAAGCGACAGAGGGTCGTAGACCTCTAATTAAAATTCGTCTTGGGATTTTCCGCCACCCCTTCGATCTTTTGGTGGCGGAAAGTCCCGTTCGTGAACGTCCACCCAATCTGGTGCTTTGTTTATGCGCATAAATATGCACTGCGAATGGAAATCTTAATTGTGACTTAATTACGCGCGCGTCAGATTGTCGTTAAATGGATTTATAGTCCTGCTGGTCCTGCAGGCGACGGAGCCGGCGGCTCGTTAAGTTTTACGACAAACCGTCGTTTTAGAATCTCGAACCGTTGAATGCACCCTTTCGTTGTAATGAACGAAGTTTATAGTATACCCCAAGTTCGGGCTACGCGCGAAAAGGAAAACTCGCCTGCTTTTACAGGGACTAAATGGTGAGTGTATGTAATCCGATTTTTGGCGGGATTAAGTCGGAGTATTTCTTCTGTGGACAAAGGGATTTGCGAGTTTCCGCCAGTCTAATTTTATGATCCTCTTATTTCGGTATCTTAGCGCTTGATAACATTATGAGCATTGCGAGTTTATATTTTCAATATTTCTCTTTCATAAATTTAATGATCTAATTTTTTTTTATTTCAATGAAGATAAAAGGAAAGGAGAACGTTCGGTAATTATAATGACCCAATTTACTCACAAATTGTGCAATTAGTTCTCTTACCTTGCTGCCACGTCCTTGTGAACGAACTTCATGCACTCTAGGTACTTCATCCCGGACGCTATCTGCGTGGCCATGTAAATAAGGCAACCGTAGCTGAAAGTAAACGACTGAAATTAATAACACGAAGGGACCGACAAAATGAATTCGGTCGTCGTTTGACTACCTCTCGTGTTCTTCTTCAAAATACAACTCTTAATTGGAATAACAGAAATTCAAGTAAAATTGTGGAACACGCAATTTCAACGTTAAAGAATTAACATTAAAAATACAATAAAAAAGAATCTTTATAAATTGTACAATTCTGACTGGAGTACGCTATTAGATAAAAGTTTACTTGACAATGTAGTTTCGGACCTTTGTGGGGCTCGGAGATTTGAAGTGATACACGTCCCGAGCCGTACACTACTACAGCTTGCATGTCGGGACGCCCCACTTGACTTTCAAGTAGGATTCGTAAATTAAATAACTGTCAGCGTGCGTCCCGAGCTTAAAGTTTACCGTCTGAAATATGTTGGCGTCGCGATGTCATTCTTTGTTGCAAAACTTACGGAGCTAAATCTCGACTATTACATTTTCATTTCGTAATCAGCGGGATACCCTCGTAAAGATAACTTAAAATAAGGAGAATTTCCTTTTATTAAAAGTTTATATAGTTTGAAGAATATAAAGTAACATAATTTATAATTAACCTCACCTCAGTGTATTTGCTGTGGATGTTAACGGTGTGGTAGTTTCAGCGACGTGTTCTTGTAAAAATTGACACAAATCACCCATTTCAGCATATTCTCGTACGGCATAAATACATTCCCCATCCAAACAAGCTCCCAAGAGTTTTGCTACATTCGCGTCATCCAATTTAGCAAGACGTTTCACCTCCCCAACGAATTCCTCTCTATATCCATCCGACCTTATCGTATTAACAACCACCAATTGACCGTTATCCTGACTTTCGCATAAATGAACATCCCCAAACTGTCCCTCGCCCAGTTTTTCGATTATCCTCAATCGTTCACGCGGGAACCTTTCAACGGTCACCTCGACGTCCTCGTCGCAGTCCGGATCCGGGCTTATGGGTAGCATAAACCTGCCGACCTTTGACCTAAGGGTTAGAGGTGAAATGGGCGGCGAGGGCATCATAGGTAATCGACCACATATGTCATTAGTGGGGTAGTAACGTTCCGGAGGTGGTGGGATCGGTGGTGGTTGGGGAAGGAAGTTGAGTAAGGGTTGTGTATTGGTTGAAAGGGTGCTTTGGGTATACTTCGACGATGGAACAGCGTATTCTTGGCAGATAACATCTGGAACCTCTGCGACATTGTTGATAACGTTACTAAATTATTTAAGAGAATGGTTTATTTATGTTACCTGCATAGTCGGGACTACGGAGGTGACCTTGACGGGGGTAAATTATTGGCCGTGCTGATTCTTGGTATAACGATGATTTATCACATTCTTCCATAGTCATCTTAAAAAATATAAAAAATATGTATGAAGTTGAGATTTCATTTTCTTTTCAGTACAATCGCGTCGTTTGGGTATAGTAACCCACGATAAGGAGCGAGATATGGCTGAGGGCCTTCCTGCGGACACCGGACGTTTATCCCCCGGTCTTGTAAGCTAAACTGTGTTAATTTCCGGGCCGCGAAGTCGCCAACGCCGTTGGCGCCCATTCGACAATACCCTACTATTAAGATAAACCGAATGGCCGGGCTTACATTCACTCGAACACGATTTCGCCTCCTTTTACGGCGCCACTTTTATCGTTTACTTCTTCAAGCACCGAGCAACATTACGATTTCAATCCACATTTATCCCCTTATAAATCTACCCCTCAATGTACCAACTAAAATTAATTATATGCCCATTCTTATCTTATATTTACACAAATCTTACTTTAAGATCTTCGTCAAATCGTTGTTCTGTTTCTGGAATGGTGGAGTTGCCGGGAGAGGCAGCTTTAAGTCTCTGGTTCCGGAATGCAATGAAGACGATTGCGGCAACAAGAACGAGTATGACAACCGTCAGAATGCCAATAACGAAGCCGATGTAGTGCTTGGGTTCGGTAGTGGTGACGGTGGAGACCCCCTTAACGCCCGGCGGCGACGCTACCAAACTCTGGTTCGCTTTAATAACAGCCGTTTTCACTTCGTCCCTTTGTAACGGATATTCTTTCCCCGCTTCCGGCATGACGACATCCTCTTCCCCGTCCGTGTAGTTTCCGTTTACTGGAACTGCAACAAAATTGTCGTTTTGGAAATGTTTGTCAAAAAGTCAGTAAGACATGTTACAGCGGATTCCAAAATGTATGAAAAGTTATTCTTGAGGTTGCCGGATTTCGAAATTAATGTCGATGGATTTTCAGACGGGCCATAAAATGCCAAGTAACAGTTTCGTACGTACTAGCTTTTGAAATTCAAATGATTCAAATTCAATTTGGCGAACTTGAGGGCGACGGCTTTCGTATGCAAATCGCCATTCGAAATTTTATGTATTCATGGTTCTATTTTGAACGTGGATATGTGGTTAATATGTTTTTATTCCATCAAATAGGAATTAAACAAATTTATGTGACAGAAGATATGAATAAAGTTTGCATCTTATTTTGTTTAAAAAAAAGGAATAGATCGTTTTGGAAATAGAATTTTCTGGTCGCGTATTGAATTCCCGCTTATCCACTTTGCATCTACAAACAAAACGAATTTCTTCGAGTAACAAATCGCCGAGACTCGCCGCAGTTCGTCCGGATACAGAGGCGGCGGCATCAATTCCGGTTCACCGGAATAAGTCTATATACAGCGGCGGCGCATTTATTTTCTCAGGTAGAGTCTTTCGCTGACACGCCACATTTTTCTCAGCGACTCGTGCCGTTCCAACCGAAATAAAATCCAAGGAAACTTAATACGCTGCCCCACAGTGCGAAAATTGCATCAGGTCGGAAACACTGGCGTACGTATTTTGATAAATGACCGCGGTTTGGGCCGAACAACGTACAATACGTCTTTCCCTGTGGCCAACGGCACGTTATATGACTGATGACTTCCTGAACCGAGAACTGAACTAACTCTGGAATGTAATTTTGGTAAGAGGGTATTATTTCTTTGTGCATTGTGACATGAAGACAAATTTATCGAACGAAATAAGGGAAATAAGCAAAATAAGCATTTCCGTTTCCACATTATAATTTCGCCAGAAAAACTTTTATACTTACCGGAATCAAAAGAAACTTCGCTGAGTAGAATCCAACGCGATCCAAAGTACAACTGAAGCTTCAGAAAACGTCCGATGCGATTGTGCAGCTTGATAGTCACGTTGCGGGCATGTTCGAGGACCAAGTCGGGCATGTAAGAGAAGTGGACCGGTTCGCCGCTGAAGAGGTTTCCTCCGATGCTAAAGTAAGTTTTCGCTCTCGAAAATACCTAACGAAAAATGAGGTCAATTTTTGTGTAAATCGTAATTCGGCTTATTGTACAAAATCAATGCATAACATGATTAGGCTAATTAGTGTTACACACAAAGTACAAACAATCCAATATACCTTATCTGATCGCGACCCATTATGCGCAGTGCGATCATAAACACTCCTGGTCTATAACGGGTGTGTATAATCAAGCGGAAAATGCGGTGTATCTATTTGTTATGTCGAAACGATCGATCCGATATAAAAACGAAGATATATCGATTGAAATTTCCTTTTTCGAAGTAGATAACTATACGGTTAAGTATACGTTTACAAAATTACGCTTAATAACTAGCCGAAGCGGGTGTTTAGTCGGGTGGGTATATATCACGGGTAATTGTTGTTTTTATATTGAAATATAGCACAGGTAAAGCCTCCCCGCAAGTGCGCAAGCGATAATAGTATATTTTCCCTAACACTTTCAAGTTGCGGCACACTATTTCCCTTCGCGGGGTTGTTATTAGACTTGATATACGACACTGCGGCGAGGCACGTAATAATATACGATCACGATGTCTAAAAAAATTACTCCTACATTTATTGGTTGTAACGGCTTTGTTCCCGTATTTAGAAAATTAAACAGTCACAAAAAGTGGGTATAAAAACGTTTGCGTCGTAATTGTAATTCAAAGAGCTTTTTGGGTTTCTTTCTCTGCTACGTCTTTTCCGTGTATTCCTTCGATTCCAATTTCCCGGCTCGCGACATTTAGTTCGCGCATAAATTCGCGCTACTTGACTTTTAAATGTAATTGCGTTGGTACGAACGGCCACGCGGGACCAGACGAGTTTAAAGGTAAACGAGGCGGGGTGTGGCAATCAACGAACGGACTGGAGCTAGAAAAAAATGCAATTTACCTGCACGTCCTTTGTGTATAAATTATTCGTGTGTAGATGGGCGGCTGAAAAGTTGCGCACTTTGTCAAACTCGAAGATTAACTCCAACGGATGTCCAACCCAACCTGGAGTATCATTTCTCCAACCCACCCATTCGTAACCTATAATAAAAAAAATGGTAATAAAAATAGTCCCTATACCAATAAAAAAAACACATCTAGAAATCGAGATTTTCTACCAACACAACAACCATAACGGCAAACATAAGATCCAAACGGAGTTCAAACCATTACTCGAAACTTTTATTGAAACATAACGGGTCGCATTTGCCGAAACTATGCGGCATCACGGCATTTCGGAGAAGGGAGGCGTCGCCGTCGTCGTCGACCGCTAGATTGAGACAAAACGTGGACATAAAAGCGGATGATTCGGTCATCCGGACACACACAACACCGCAAGGACACATTGCGCCGAGTGCCGCGGGCCGCCGGAAGTAATATAAATGTAAATGCGGCCCTGGAAACGAAAGGCAAATAACTCGGCGTTCTCCCCCGAAATGTCGCACCTACCCGCGTTTCGGTTTCGGTAGGAGAACGCCTTTATACCAACGACCTTCCTTCACCTGTGGTCGTCGAACAAAATACTTTTGCATAAACTCCGTAGAAGTGTATTGGAGGGAAACTGTAATCGATATAGCTATATTGGAGCTTTCCTTTTAGCCAGTTTTTTTAAGATTTATTGGATAAGGTAAGGTACAATATTGTATTGCGATTGGGCATATAAAAGAATTGATAACGGTTTACATGTATATTTAACTTACGTTATATTATGCCTTATATGAGCTAGGAAGCAATCTTATTTTGTACACAAAATCTTTCAAAAATCTCAAAATTAAAACTATTTAGTACTACCAAATTATCACCATTAACTAACTTTGAAATAGTTGAAACGATAAGGCTTGTTAGTTAAAAGGCTCCCAAAAATCCCTGCTTGAAAATAAATTTTTTAGAATACAAATTAAAATTAACTTAATTAAGTCCAAAATCAGCAAGAAAAAAGTAGTTAGAAACACCAATTTTTTATTGGAAAGGAAGTACGTAGCATATACATATTAAAAAAACACTACATACCAATTAAGTAAGACCACTACGAAATACCACTAATAATACCACTACGAAATTGCTACATGAAGAGAACTCTGTCTTTTACATAATGGATCTTTCTAGTTTTTAAGTGCTCCTTAATAATTTTTCGTGATTTTATTTTGCAGCCGCGGGTGCTCTCTTGTATACTCCGTTATAAGGTCGAATCGACTTAGTGTTCGTTGAAAACTTGAAACTTACGACAGATTTGGTCAATACTCACGATTAAATAACTAAATAATTTGATTATCGCATGAGTCAGAAACACAAGTTTATTAAGCGATATCAGCTTTGTTTTGCAGATATATGTCGAAAGCACTTGATATGAGCAGTTGAGACTAATCATAACAGTGGTGAGGAACGCAATAGACCATGATAAACTATACCGATGATAATGTTGAGAAACGGCAGTCTTGATATGGAAAAGACGTTTGGATACCCACACTTCTCAAAGTAAGAGTTGTTATTGCGTATTGCGCGCCACATCACTGACTCCAAGTATTTCATATCGCGAGTCTTAACTTGGCCATTATTCATGATGTCCAGATGTTGGGCATGATGTTGGGGATGTCCAGAAGCAATGTTGGAAAATATCAGGATTCCCTGCACTATTTGGAGGCGCCCTTCGCTTGATTATGATAAAAATCTTTCATTCTGTTTTATTAAGCCGAAGTGCTCTATTTCGCTTGCAGCAGAAGTGCTCTATTTAATACCATATCGACCCAAAACCAGTTAATACATAGTACTACAAACCAGTTTGTCTAATCACTCTGTTGTGTGTTGATGATAGAATTTTGCCTGATTTACCAAGGTTATTTGCCAATGCGCTGCAATTGATACTACAACTTATATTGCAAGCGCCACTATGACACTACGAGTAGCAACACTATGACTATATCTAATTAAGCCGAGGTTGCTCGCGGCCAAGGCCTTATAAGTAAGACCACATTCAACCATCACCATTTAACACATTCTACAAAGCGTAGATATATAAGCTAACCTAGCAATATAGAATTTGTCACTACAATTAATACGGTATATACCCAAACTTAGTTAACATATATTGAGGTTGCAGGAGACTTCGGCTACATTTAAGGTGGGGAAACTATGACTTTATCTGTTTCTGCGGAGGTCGCACGCGGCCGAGACGTTGTAATTAGTATCACATCCACCCTCAACTGATTAAAACACTACTACGCATAGGCGGCAAACGACCTCGACGAAACTTAGAGTGGAGAATTTATAATGTTGGATTATCAACCCGAGGCGCTTCAATACTATTACCAGTTTCAAGTACACATGATTTTAACCACTACGTTTTAAAGTGATCTTTGCAGGTTTCGTACGATTTTAGGTTACATAGTGCTCGCCTTACCCTACAATAGAATTCCATAACATGCAATTCTTTGGAAATTTGCAAAATAAACCATCCTCGCTGTTTCGTGAGTTGCTACCATTTGCATTCTCCTGCTTGTGTATATTGCACCGGCTAATTTAGAAGCTATATCCGATATATGTGATTGCCAGGCGAATCTATTATCTATGTTCAGCCCTAAATACTTGATTTACACACTGTTGAGTCATTTCATAGCGCAAATTTTAAATATTGTGTTTTATCAGTATCTGTTGTTTCCCGTAGATGCTGTTGTTCTAAATGACGTATCGTCAGCATACAAACATGTCACTTTGATATAGAAACTCCTCAAAACTAATCCTTGTGGTACTCCGTTCATGGGCCGCCTTATTGAGGATCTATCCTTGTTCACTTCCATCAGCTGCTGTCTCTCTTTCAAGTAGGATGTTCTCTTTCAAGTTTGTGTGGGATGCCTCTAATGCCATAATAGTATAACTTTTGGAGTAGTATATTGTGATCGACAGTGTCGAACGCTTTACTGAGAACACATCTGGTAAGTACCACAAAAATGTGATATTGTTGCTTCTAGATAACATAGTTATAATGGAATGTCCTTGGTATAAACATTTTACGGTTAATAACAATTTTTTTCAATAAGATTTGGAAAATCATCCGAGAGACAAATTCTAAGTACTATGTCCGAATGAAAAACAGTGTGATTCATGTAAGAGAATCATAATCAAGCTAATGTTCTTGTAGTTAAATGGCTGTGTTTTTTTCAAGAATACTTAAATCGTTAGATTTCTCACCCCAAAAACGGAGAAATATCGTGGTTCTTTGTTTGACAATTCGATGGCCTCTAACCCGATCTACACAAATTTTTTGAAAGCCCTTGATAACACCGATCATATTAATCTTTTGCAGAAAGTTTCCTTCTGATTAACTTAGGTACAGTTAACACTAGATACTCTAGATAGAAGATACTATAAATGACAAAATAGATTTTTCTCGTGGATGACTGGAATCTGCTGACAGAAGACAAGATTCTTCTAGTAGTGGTGATTAGAAAACTGTGAGTCCGTGGCTGCACTAAACGTTTAATATGTAGCTGAGGAATCGAGACCGTATAGTGCAAGATAACCATGAGTGAGTTTCTATTTCTACGAATTACTGTTGTATTTGTGGACATCTCAGAAACTTTGCTGTCAATAACATTATTTTTGTAATGAAGAAACAACTAGCAACTGGAATTCGAAATGTTTACTACAAATTTTCTATGAGTGATATCCATTTGAGATTTTCTATGTTGTCAGGGCACAAAAAAACACTGTGGTGGTTAAGGGTGAAAAGAAAAGTGATGATTTCCTTACACTCATGAATTAGGAGAAAATTTAGAATCCTAGATTGTGCTGAACATTCGAAAACCGTACGGCAGTGATGAGAATAATCTCAGATAACTCAATTGAAACATATAATGGGAGAAAAAGGCTTTGAGGCTGAAGTAGATATTAAAGAATTAATCCTTGACGAAAAATTGAAGTAGATTATGTTGTCATGATTTTTCAGAACTAATTGGAATATAACGATGTCTGAGAAATGTAAATGTAAAAAAACAATGTAAGAAAAATACATTTGCTACAATTTTAAGGAAAACGAATCAATTTTTGGTTGAAATCGAAAAGAAACGATGAGGTTAGATTTCAGTATCGATAAGAAAAAGGGAAAAAGAAGAGATTCGGGTCTAAGTTAGGTAATATAAAACGTGTCAACGCCTGTTGAGTGGGTGACATTCGCCACCTGTGCGGCGACGGGAGTTGCGAAGCCGAAAATAAGATGATCCCCAGGGGAACAAAATCAAGATAGACGAGGAACGTTCGCGGGGAAGTTCGTTAGACGGCGGAACCTGGAGGCGGGTGTCCGGATAAAAAAAATAGACCAGCCGATAAAATATCGGCCTGCCGAGAAACCGCCGCCGCCGTTTTCCCGATATAAATAACCGTCGTCGTCGCCGGCTTCGAGCCAAACCTCCCGCAGGATAAGACATCCTAAGACCCGGGTGAAATGCGGTCCGGATAAAGAAAAGCTGGGAAACATGTTGACGTCTTTCCCTTGAGATAAACTGAACGTAATTGGTGTTAGAATTATATGTAGTTACTTTGGTCTATTAAATTTTTTCTTTAAACTTACCTTTTCCATGCCCTGAAATATCTAATCGAAAATTGTCTTGTCCTTTTTGTCCGTCAACTAACTGACCAATTCCATGTGACAAATATCCTCCCTCTTCACGTCCGTCGTACGTTTGATCGGAAAGGTCCATTTCGGGACCGCGTTTAGATCCCTGAGGTCCGGAGTAACTCAAGAGCCCATCTGGAACACACGTCAGAGGTGACAAGTCGTGCACCTGGTCGCTATTCGCCCGTATATCGCCAATTAATCACCACGTAATTAATAATTTCAGGGACGCAGCCGGCATACCGAAGCGCAAATATGGTCTTAATTAATCCCAGTCGGTGACGGCGTCGGCGTTGTCGTGCAAAATCGCCTCGATCCGCGCACCAATAAGGAGTTATTAACTGAACCGGGTTTTCGCGTTAGGATAATTGCAAGAAGTAGGATGGTGTGAAATTGAGAAACCCCACGTTTGGTTGCGGTAAGTTATAAGTTGTTATTGAAGAAATATTGGTATGTTAAATCATCGTCAAGGTTTTAAGAGAATGTTGACTTGGGTTGAACTAAAGCTATAGGTGTTGGAAGTGAGGTTATTTAAATTGTCGAACTAAAATGGTTATATATATATCTTTGATTTGAAAATGATGTTCATAGAATCCAAAACATTATTAAGGGTATGCAGGCAGACTGTTAACAAGCGATAACATACATTATTTCTGACACAGCAGGGGGCCACGCAAATTAGCGTAAGATAGTGTAGCGACCCCCCATAATGGCGGTTGGTGTTGCCAGAGAGGCATGTTTGGTTTACTGTAATGAACACCGGCGTTAAACAAGCACGAAATAACGTGCTGGTCGTTGGCCATATCCAACGACTTATCAGTGCGAACGCAGCTTTTGCATTAATAAACCGTAACGGCCATTTGTGCTCATCTTTCGGATTGCACATAACTTTCGATTTATGCATTCGTTTATAACATATTTTAAATCAAAGTATCGTTCCGAACAGCCCAGTTTTAGATTAAACTTCGTGGGCGCAATTTAAATTTGCGTTTGTTCCGAACATATGGTAGGTAGGGTATTTAATGGACTAATATTTCACTTATTACAGTATGTGTAATGGGTTGAAACTGATATATTACAATGGACGGAATAAATGATTCGCAATTATTATAAAAAATTCGATAAATTTTATTTTTTTTTTGGCAATTTTCGAAGAGATTTTGAGAGTACTCAAATTCTGGTTAACACGTTCACCGAACCGAACGTGTAAACGATTAAATCGATTACGTAGACGGGTACTGACCTGCAAATTTGCATCCCATTATTTCGATCCGCATGCAAACGGTCCGGACATGGTCGCTATACGGCAGGAAACGCACTTTGGTGGCTATGATCGGAGGTTCCAGCTTCTGATCAACCACTGTGTAGGTGTTGGTGTTCCCAGAAAGCAACTGTAACATGGAGAGAGACCATTGCGGGTCATTATTTAACGTTTTGGTTGAATCTAAATCACGAGATGTCGGGATTTCATCCCATTTGACCTATTGTCCTAACCACCAAATCACTTTGTATGTATATGATGGTGGAAACTAAATGATGGGTTATTATTAAAACTAGTTTCGGCGATAAAAGAATTTTTCGAATTATATAGTGGAAGTAATGGAAACGTGTGCGCTAGCACGAGAGCATAAATTTTAATTAGTTTCATTTGTTCAACCCCAACTGTTTTAATGATTTTCATTCCATGCGATGTCTTGTTTAGAAATTACCCCATTGTTTGTACTTTTTTCAACAAATTTTATCCAATCAATATCTCGTAAAAATCATGCGTTAAATATTTGTAAAAATTACAGAAATTATTTTCTAACCCAGTGGGCAAATCAACACCAATAAAACCAATTCAAAAGTAATCAAATTATATTATACTCAAATAAATCGTTAATAAAACCCGTCACATCCATGACAACTATCGATTTACTCCTCGAGCACCATTTGACATTGAACGGAACAAATATTTTACGATCCATCCTGAAATGGCAGTTCACATATCCTTCGTTGGTGTCCAAAGTTCAACTCGGTCTGTTGACATTTCCGACGTTCGATTGAGCGGTATCACTTCATCAATTCGATGTTTACTCTTTCAATTAGTTGAAGCGGAACAGTGCAATTTGACGAGGTTAGTAATTCGCTCCTACACATATAGTATATATCGCGCGGTATATCAAGATTTAGTGGTAAATAAATAAATTCTCGTTGATAGAACATAACGAATAATAGGACAAGCGTCATCCGAGCAATTAGCGTTCGGATTTACATTTGTCCAGGATTTTCAGGATTTATTTCGTACCGTATGCAAAACGGCCGGGTTCGCTCAAGTGCGCATAAATTCGTATTCTCTCATAATCCCACTTCCTGGTGCTTCGGGTATTAGTAACGATGTGGGGAAATAAATCCTCGTACCCTTGAATGTTGTAAAACATAATACTATCTCATTGTATTAAAAGCTGTATTAATCCATCGAACATAGACAAACCGTCACAGTTTCATTTCAACAGCTTTAATTTGAGTACATCAACTTGAAAATAACCACTTTTTAAATTAACGCCATTTAAAATCCATTTGACGCCCGTGGCAGAAATGAAATTAACACGGTCCATTCCCGTTTCGCCCTTGGGGCCATGATTATAACGTCGTCAAAAACCCGTAAAAAGACCTCTCCCCCAGGTATATTTGATTCGCACGGTGACGGCGTCATTATCCTCCACATTTATATATTCATATTCTGCGCTGGGGCAATGAAACGGGGACGAAATAGGCGCGCGACAGGGTTGAACGTAATGACGACCGACTCGACGCCGCAATGGAAATGGAAGGAAATGGGTAGGACGATGATATGGATGGAAGGCCGCTTTTCAACTGTGACGACCGGAAGTTCGGCGGCGTCGCGACGCTCATTATAGCTAATGGCAAACGACGACGACACGCGTCTCTATCACTTATTTGAGAAGATGGAATTTTTGTATGTTTGCTTTAAGAACGCATGAAAAAGCATACTATTATTTGGAAAACTAAAAACTGCATCTCTTTCAAAAAATATAATAACCAATTTTTATACCTAATCCTTATTGTGCCAATAAAGCATTAACGGAACTGGAAATTCCGATATACCCTCGCTTCAATCCGGATTAATTTTGTCAGAAGAGTCTCGATGTGTATCAGTTCGCATTGAACGTAGTGTATTGAGGCACTTTACCCCTATTAAGTATCGGTTAGGGATCAATACTCGAAGTGAAGCGATCTCCGTGTTTGATATCTGTTATACATACCTGTTTCTATACATGTTACTAAGGATTGTTGTTTAATCTTTAAACTAATACTATTAGTACATGTAGGGTATTGCTTTGTGGACGATAACAGCGGCCGAACACAACTTAGCTTCAACGATTTATTGATACATTATTCATATCGAAAAGGAAGTGATGATAGAAATTTTATGACAAATTTGATGTGGCGATCGATTCACAGAAAGTTTGGGATGACGAGCAGTAGACCGATTACGTCACCCAGGTGACGAGGCCGAAGTAATCGTGAAGCTATGAAACAAATAATTTAGTAGAAGTATCAATTTATTGACGCAGAATGAAATAGGGTGATTCGGGTAAATTTAAATATAATTAAGACATAAAATAATTTTTTTACACCACCAACATCACTTTACCAACGTAAGGTTACTGTTATTAAGTAGCGGTTCATTCGGTGCGGTGAGGTGTCGATGAAGGTGTCTTCGTACATCCCAGCGACCGGTTTAATTTCCTCGTTGACAAAAGGAACCTTTAAGTTCTTTGATCTATGATCATCCGTAGCACTTTATTTTGCTACGTCTAGATAGTCAAAGCAATTGACATTGCTATGGCTTGCATAATGTTTTAGTTTTACTAAACCAAAATATTAAGCATATTTAAGGAATCTGTGAAGCTGTACGACATAACACCTGCGTATATCAATCAGTTTAAGAAAATCTATCCAAACATATTGTATTATCGTAGAATTCATAAGTTATCATAATTGTTGTCTTCAACATTAAAAAGGCACCAAATACATAATTCGTAAAGGCTTAATATCAGAAACGTTATCACTTTTAAAGAAAATTGGTCGAAAACTTTTGTAAAAAATCTGTGGTCTTACGCGAGAATAAATAAAATTGATTGGGGATTTAGTTTAGATAATGGAATAAATTATTAAACCGTACATTTCAACAGACCTTTAGAAAATAAATTAGATCTAATTCCTCATTCATGCTGCGCTTTAAACATACTAGATCTCTATTCAATAATATCCATAAAGTTAAAAGAATATTTGGTAACAAACGAATTCGACGTAATTATATCTTCATGATGAAATAACTGAAATTAGAACATAATATAAATAATAATATTAAATATTAAATTCCTTCATAGGAACTTAATATTAATCGGAAAAGTGGGTGAGCTTTTGCTAGATTAGTGATAAAGTTGACATAAACTGCATAGGGCGTACATACTATAGTTTAGAAGGACCATAATAGCTTCAGTCATTATCTTTAGCATCAGTGATATCACCAGTGACTTTTAAGAGATCTTGTCTCAAGGGTATGCCTCTGTGGAAACTCAGATTGGACTATTGCTAATAGATTATTCTTAACAACGCAGCATCGAAGTTGTTTTTCCATGCGCATCTCCAAAATTTTCCACTTGGTGCTTTTCCAACTTTTTAACGCCACCTGAATCTATGCATTTAGACACTCGAGCAACCCTTCAAACTGCTTTCCATATCATTTTCCTGAAATAGAACTAAGATATCTTTGCTATTAGATATTGAATATTTTTGCTAACTAATTTTGAAACCAAAAACCTGAATCTCTGCATTTAAATAGTGGAGTAATCCCTTAAACTGGTTTCCTAATCTCTATCAAATTGGAACTAAAATTTGGTATCTTTTTGCAAAATGTTTTTTTAAGTGAAACCGGTGATCCTATACATTTAGACAATTTAGTAACTCAAACTAGTTTCCAAAATAAATATATGATAGCATCTAGAAGGGAACTACTTTGCATATAGTGAATCTTTCTTCAAACTATTTTCAAACTGAAATTTTAGTCTTTATTGGGTACTTGAATCATCCTTCCCAATGCAGTTTTTTTTTGCCAAACTGATACTTAAATCTCATTACAATGACATACTTGAATCTTTCTGCAAATTGATTTTAAAACTAAAATCTTATTCTAAATGTTGCTGTGATAAGTCACTTTATTATCTTGATCAGTCTGAACGTCTGGAGTGCGTAATTCTTATGGTGGATGATTATGATTTTTGACAGCAATTCCTTGTTTAAATTTTATCTGAGACAAGGGCGTGTCTGTGTTAATAATGGTATGGTTAACCAGTCACTTTTCAGTTCATTTATCAGTGAACTAATTAGTTATTTGTCGTGTAAATATCACTAGTACGCAAACGATCTTGAATTAGAAAATAAATTAGACCTAATTCCTCATTCATGCTGCAAGGTCTTCAACAGATCTTCAAATTTACATACGTATAAGTATATAAGTATTACGAATATTTGTGGTATCATCAATTATGTCAACGGTAATTTGGAAAGGATTCGCGATAGGTCGAGGAGTTCTAGATCTCATCTGAAAAACGTGTCCAGTTTGCATAACAGTGATGGTGCACTTAATGGAATTCAGATCTTCCATAGTGTCAGGAACTTAGGCTGCATCCTGGATTTTACTGTTCATATGCAGGGGCGGTTATCAGAAGGATTTACGTTGTCTTTTATACACTACGCAGGTGTAGTTCTTGTCCCAATACTATACCAAATCCTGTCTTTATTTGCGCTAAGTGTACTTTACTGCGCAAGTTATAATTCAGGTGAAACAACATTAATCTAAAATAAAAACGAAAAAGATCATCCTGAAAATTTCGTCAGCGCAGAGCAATTCTTCATCAGGTTTAGTGATACCTTCTAGGTTCGGCTCAATAACACATTTACTGTTTATCTTGTTTTTGTCATGATAGAATTCTACTGTATCTAATGTAATCCTCCAGTGGCAGTGGCTATTTCTTATAAATATTTTAGTCCTATTAAATTTAATTTGTAGTAATATTGCTCATGACAGAACTTCTTGTCTGCTAATCGCTCGGTTTTTTTCAATCTGATATCCGATTCCAAATCCATTTGTTATACCTTTATACTTTCTCATCGACATTTCTCCCGTGGGTACCAAGCTTTGAAGATTGTACTGAGGCTAAACCAGAAAGGTTGCAGAATTGCTATAGCGTGCAACCATATTAGTATCCCATACTGGCATAGAAGCTGGATTAAAGTGACGATCTAACAAAAGGGTATCACTAATCATGTAGTATTTCGTCTGCCAGAATTTGAATTATCCCAAACTTCTGATTCTCTTATCAAGATGTATGACGATGTATTTAACTAAAACTTAATTAAAACGAAATAATCTTGTAGTTGTTTGCATAAATCTTGACTTGTATTTTTAACATAAACGGGTAATTAAACTATAACAAGAGGCAAGAAAGTGCCAGGATTAACGAAATACACGATCTTGTTGCCACGCAATGTTTAAAGTAATTAAAATTCTGGGTCATAAAGATTTGTATGTAGTAAGTATTCAAATAGTTTATTCAACGAATCGAAAGGTGGCCAAAATGTATTTGTTTCATTCAAATAAATTACACGAAATAAAGTTATTTTAAGTTTTCAAATTTATGAAAATTAATTCTTATTTAATCTAAATAGAAAATTATGAACCTACATAAATGTTGATATATGTAACCATAAAAGAAAGGGTTTCACTTCTTATTACGTTAATCCATGATTGTGACCGAAATTATATCGATACGTGTCTTGAATACGAATTTCCTTAAGATGATGATGAGTTCTTGTTGCAACAATGCAACTCCGGAGGCGTTGTTTACTTGAGTATACGAGATCTGTGCTTACAGTTTAGTAGATAGCGGAAGCTTGGGTAGCTACGTTATCACGGTGTAATTATTTACTACAACAACACCGTTTATTTTACGTTACAGTTTTGGACGGTAAAATTTATTAAAACGATACGGTTAATCAATAGCGATTTTATTTATAAACTCAGACATAAATAATTATATTTTAATAAATAAATACCTCTAAATTTACGTAATTTGTGGGATTAACTTGCATATAAAATACGAGTAATTATTTAATTAATTAAAAACGCAAAATATGTATTGGTACACTTCAAAATCAATGTTCCCCGGGAATTAGTTATTAACCATTATGTACTGATACCAATTACGCTACCACATCCAATCAATTTAACACGGAATTTCACATATTCATTAACGATGTGGGATTTGCATTCTAAGGCATCACATTATCTGAATCTAATTCTGTCAGTTTGTGCAAAGTTAATCCATATACGGTTATCTAAAATTGTTATATCGCCAAGTCCCCGCGGGCGTTCTGTGAAATATTCATTGGACTCGATAGAAATCCGCGAGGCACCTGCGAGACTGAACGTGGATTCACCATCGACCAAGCTAAACATTAATGGTAATGTATTCCATTAAAGCTCTCCACACGGTGACCGATGTGAAAAAGCGCAACCGGAAAGGAGAGAAGTATGAATATGCAAACGTCATTCGTGGAGGGTGGAATAGGATTTTCCATGGTAAAAATCACCTGACGTCGAGTTGACGTTGCATGAAATTGATTTTTTTTGTTTATGTGGAAAATTTAGAAACAGAAATTGTAGAGATATCTAAATAGATTTTATCGTAAAGTTTATAAATTCCTTTCTGAGGTAGTACTATGGCGAATATCTCCGCTTAGATTAAATTGATGGACCTTGGTCCCCCACGTCAGGTGTACTGTACGCTCGGACCAGTCCAAAACCTACCACTGCTAACTACAGAACCGATTAAGGCTCGACATCGAGCGTTCTCGAGGGATTGGTCGTTTTAATCCTACAGCCGCGGCCAAAGCCGCGATCGATACGATATTTTAGGAGATTATTGCGCACAGAGCGGTCTCATTTCCAAAATTTCTCGCACGTTTCCCTCTTAAGCTAGCAAGACATCACAAGTGTCACAATTCCAATTCTCATTTTGACCACATCTTTGGATGATTACCTCTTTGCCTTCCCTATTTTTCCATCGAACCCATTTTGAAAATCCCGGTCTCCAATAATCCAACATATACTCCTCAGCGTATTCTTGTCCTTGACCATTTCCGAATCGACCCTGTGTTCTTCCTCCTGTTACCACGTGAAGCTCCTCTAAGTTGATTTCTAAGTATTCTTTGGCGTCTCTTGAAACCATATGTCGAGGACACCATGCACCGCCGTTTTTATCGTTCCTTAACCTAGAAATAAACAAAATAAATCAATTAAACAATAAAATATAAATGGAAATTCATTTTTTGTGACGAATCAATTTAAAAATATCTAAAGTGATTAAATTGTTTACACATCGAATTTTTTTAAAACATTTCATTTGATAAAACAAATATACGTCTATATCAGAAAATCGGTTGGCTACCGATGATAAAGTAATCTATGTTGGGAAATATTTTCGTGTACAAAAAGATCTTATTTTAAAAATTGATACCTTTTAATATTGGAGAATAAATTGGATTTAGGTCGATAACTTTATAATTGCTAGTGGAACTGTAATAGAGTTCAAAATAACGAAGGTTTAGATAGGGATCCGAAGAGGTACTCAAAATAAAACTTGTATTTTTGCGGCTATCAAAGCGTAATTATGGTCTCTATCTGGTTTTATACCGTGGTCGCAATTGGTGCCTTCCAGCGTACTGGCTGCTGCACTTTATGGTCCGCTGTCCCTCTTTTGCAAGCAAAAACCGCTGCGTCGGTCGAGCTACGCTAAAGTGCCACCAACCACACTATCCTGACTATGCAAATTACTTATTTCCACACTCGTTCTCGATTTTGATACTTAATGAACATTGTAGATTTTACTACGTGATGGAATTGGAAAAATATATAACAAATTAATTAAAAAAAAATTAAATTTATTACACACTCGTATATTATAAAAATAACACATTAAGGTGGTATTTACGGATCCGATCGCTTTAAATTTGTCGTAATTAAAACCGGTTAAAAAATAAAATGGTTGCTGCACTTGCTTCAACGTCTTAAACGCTATTTGTAATCGTCTCGCGTAAGAACCGAACAAGCAAAGAGAAAACGGTTAATAAGACTTGTTCCCAGCACGCCCACATTTGCTTCTTATTTACATTTACGAGTTGAAGTAGTCTGGGGTCGTACGTAAACCTTAAACGGACGAGAGGTTGTAATAAAGGTTATTGTTTTGCATGCTCCGGGTGAGGTTCTAAGAGTTCTGCAATGATTTGATGATGAAGTATGCAGTTCTGATTCTTAAATTATTTTAGAATTTATACTAATTTAAATCATTAAAACTAAAATAAATATTAATTTATTAAAAAAAATAATTTAAGGCGTTTTCGCATTTGTAGGTTTCTTATCTTCGTCTTCTTCGCATTCTATTTTCAGTGGGACCATTTCAATTTCATCATCTGAATGTGAATGCCTATTTGTTTCTGCATTTTCTCCTGGGATATTTTCGGGGTTACTCGGGACTAAAGTTCCTTCTTTAACTTTAAACCATCCAAAAACAGCAGCTCCACATATCGCTCCTAATCCAGCCATAACAAATATCGTTGTTAAAAATTTGTTACTGTTTGCAGGTTGTACATCCTTAGGTATATTGTTTAAATCATATCGGCCACGTCCTATACAAGAGTCGATATTTTCAATTAATCCTGAATGAGTTTGAATGTATGTGGGAACATTCACTGCATCCAAATTTGGATTATGAGGATAAAATCCTTTTGAGTTCTTGAGTCAAGAATGTATTATATTAGAAAATATTACAATTTATTTTAAACTGTACACTTACTCCTATTAGATTATAATTACTTCTGTGAAATGCTTTCATTTCAATGAATGCCATTTGTATAGCATTTTTTAAAATATTAGTTTCAGCTACAACAAAAGCTCCTCTTGGACTAATACTTAAAAAACATTCATCGTCGATTTCAGATGAATTGGATAAAGTTCCATTTTTACACATGATCATAGCGCCATCAGGTAGTTGAAAGTCATCTAAACAAATTAAAGTTTTATTTTAAATTTTAGATGTTATCGAGTATTAATTTACCGTGCATTTTAATAACAGCGTACTCAGCATTTTTGTATCTTAAACAATCTAAAGCGCCGTTATTTCCTGTTTGCGCATTCTCCATAAAATCATAATTACATGTTGCTAAAAATACGATTTATACTTCTAGTAAAACATAAAAGGAGAAATAAAATTTAATTTACCTGTAGTACTTTTATTAGATGGACACAAAGAACATAACTTATTATTCATTGCGTCTTGAGTCAAGTTAACACCTGGCATGCAAGATTCCGATACAAAACTTCTTAAATTTTCATAAGCGCTACATGATTCGGTTTTAACTTCGTCTTTTATAAAATAAGAAAATGATAACCAATCTATAAATGATATAAAATTACGTTTGTAAAATTAAAATTGTTTTTACTTTTACCAATAGAACCAATTCCTGTAAAACAAGCTGTTTTATTTTCAAGATCACTTTTAGCTTTAATAAACATTTCGTTTACAATTAAAACTGTTCGGATTAAATCGTTATGATCGTCTATTGAATAAAGAATAGGATCCAATTTTACTTTGTTTGTATATCTAGAAATTAATTTAAATTTTTTCTTGTAATAATAAGATTATCTCAATAAAAGGTATAATTGTTCATAAAGTTTTACATTATATTTTCCATCTTTTGTAATAAAGTCAAGATGGCACAAAATTGAATACAATGTGCTAGTACTGATTTTCATTACTGCTTTAGTATGTATTTCTTCATCATGACTTAACACCTGATCCTAGTCAATTAGCTGGCATTTTAAGCACTGCATGTAATAATGTAGTGTGCACGCATGGAAGAGTTGAATTTATGATGAAATTTATGGTGAAGTACACCTGCTCAATGAGATTGGAGCATAATCGGACACTGTACGATCCATCCAATGAGGGATTTTTAAAAAGTATTAATATGGACTGTATTACATGGGTGTGGTTATTTATTTATTATCATCCAACACTTTTTTGGTGCAAACCGGAGTACACGAATATCAGATTTTCGCCCACACAATTTTTTATGGCTATGAAGATACAAAAGAAATATAGTTTTTAACCGAGTTGACTACTGCAATACAGGTGTTTCAACCATAATGCTAGCTCCAAGAGTTACTGCTGAAAGTGTCAAGCAAATTGTTGGTCAGTATGTATCTTTAGAAAGAAAAAGAACTGTGCAGGTCAAAGTATCATATTATTGTTTCTTGATCATCATGAAACAATATCAATAGCGGCAATGGATGCAAAACTAGATACAATTAATAGATTACTAGATATTGCACCCAGAAAACTAGACACAGCTAATACAAGACTCGAAACTGCTTTCAAAAGGCTATATACTAATGGCAAAATACTAAATACTGCTGGCAGAAAATAAGATAATACGTTAAAATTACAATATTCGCGTAAATCACAACTTAATAATATAAAATAGAGTGTAATAATTGCTATTCAACACACTCACCAGACTAAGAAATATTGTAATGTTTTATTGACCTGTATTTTGGTGAACTTAATCTTATGCCTGCAACCTCCAATGGGTGTAATTTACGGCAGGTAATGACATTGATTGTCCTAGCCATTTTCTAGACTATTTGTTCTGTCATATTCCATAAACATAATTTATCATTTATTTTCATAAATACAATTACGAATCAAAAACGACTAAGATTGTCGCTATCATTAACATATCAAAATTAAAGGATTTTGCAATTTCATCACTTACAAACAAGAATAGCGTACGGACATAGGAATCTGCACCATCCTTCATCAAGTTAATTCTCAAGCATCATACAGTTTAAGATATTATGCAAATACTATCATGTAATATGAGAAGGTTTATTCTACAATAGAATAAACGAATGTCCAATAAAATACGAGAACATATTCTTTCAATATAGAACGACATTACAATACAATACAGAAAGAGACAAAAATCTTGGCTATAATGAGGACTACGAGAAATTAAGTGATTACCTAGATCATTTCAATGTTGACATTTTACAAAAACATTCAAAAGTTCATCAGCTTCAAGTTAAATCATCAGCCAGGCGAAAACAAATAATTCGACCAATAAAATACAAAAAAAGGTTACTACTTGCCATTTTAGAAAGTATTGTACCGATTCTGTTATATGTATCTGATAGATGCATACAAATGAAGAGAAGACCTTATAGAAATAGTATTAACCACAGATGGACAAAGCAGCACCTACCAAAACTTTAAATGATGCTTCCACTGAAATTTCTGAATTGGAGAACTTTGACACCAATGTATTACAATTTAATTCGGTTACTGCTGATTATTTATAGTTTTTTATAGCTAAAATTATAGAGGTAACTCTACATTGAAACATAAAAACACAAATAAATCGATTTAAACGAAATTAGCTTCTTGAAGTGATTTAAAATAGTAACAACTTACTAGTGAAGATAGTAATGCGAAAGGTAATTTAATTAGAATAGTTTATTGTACTAGTCTTTATGATACTAGCAAGTTCATCGCATTTTCCAGAGTCTTTATCTTAAAGAAATTAAAATAGAGTCTATTTCGCTACCATTCTTTCGTAAATCTTAAAGAGTCTATTTTTAGAAGACCTTCATGCACGTGATACCCATGATACGATGACAAAAAAGTCAGTTGCATAAATAAATATACGAATTCTTTGGGTTTTGACTTTGATTTATGCATATTTGAAAACACCATGATTGGATCGCAAGAATAAGGAACTACAACAATAAACTACTTTTTCAGTTGTAATCAGAAAATTCTAAAAATTGATTCGAACTAATCAGCATTGACATCTGTGGATCACTCCAAAGACATATACCGGAGAACAAGAATCCGTTGTTGTAAGAAATATGTGATTCCGCTTATGTCTACATTCGATCTTTTTAACGAATTATGATTATTTCATGAGATACGATATTAAACGCCATGTAATATAGTAATCGATTACTCGCCACAATTTACAAATGATGTATTACAACTAGAGACATAGTTTGAAAATTTAATACCACATTTCAAGTTATCATCCACATCCCTATCCCGTTGAACAGAAATCGTCGGTTTATCTCATTCGCTTAGTTGCTATATTAAGGATCGATACATGACGTGTACTGTGTTAGTCGCTGTTTACAGACGATGTGGTAAATAAGCCAAATACATCGTCGCTCTGGTCATCAATTATTATATATTCTAGTGACCTTAGAATATCGTATTTCCAGAAGAACTGTACAAAATTCTGTTCATACATTCAAGGGAATATAGATCTACAAATTCTGTATGCAAAAGGAAATCCTAGATAGATTTAAAAAAAATAAACTAAATGCTCTCGTTTGCTCACTTATACCTTACAATGAGAAAATCCATGGACAAATTTTATACAAAAAAAAACTTACTTTCGGGTATTATACAATTGATCACTACTAATATAAGTTATATCCGAGTTATTTTTCATTACACTTTCGATACATTCTTCAGTACTTCGTAATTGTTGGCAATCTTTAATTCTCGATTCCATTCCATAAGTGTTTATCAAATTTTGTATAAAAATACATTCATTTTTTTCATCTTCAGTTGATACACACCACGTCACACCTTTATAACACAGAGAATCAGTACTTTCTCTTTTTAATATCAGATCTGTTATGTACTCTTTTAAACTCATGCTATGATCTATTAAATGTAAATTTAAAGAATCGCTAAATAAAGCCTTTGATAATAATTCTTTTTTATTATATTGTTCCTCAATATTAAAAGAAGCTCTTCCAAAAACTTCCTTAGGGAAAAATTCTCTTAAATCTAATGTTAATTCATCAATAATTTCTCTGGAATTATTTACTTGATGTTTATAAAAAAAATATTTTATATTTGAATATACTCACGTATTTGCTAATACAAGACGAAAAGGATACTTAGACCAGCTACACGATATGTTTAATGGTTGTTGATTACCATTTTCGCAAATATAATAATAATCCATGTTTGAAAGTAATCCTTTTTCTTCGTATATTTTTACCTCTTTCAAAGTACTAAGGGCAACATTTCCTTTTCCATTCATTAAGCAATTTAAAGATTGTTCAAATACGTTGGTATTATTTTTATAGAAATGACACAACTCAAGTAGTTTTGGATAACGTATTTCTAAAATATGACTAATCACATTATCTGAATTTCAAAACTCTATAAGTAAACAAACTTAAATCAGCGTCTAACTGATCATCAATACTCCATCTTCCGGGAATACAAGAAGATTCGAACGTTTCGTTCATGTTATAAAAATAATTTTCTAGAAAATTATCGGAATTGTGGCACAAATTCTTGGGGTTCTTGGACCAAACAAAATTTTCAAATTTTGTGGTTATATATGTTGGCAATTTAGCTTCATTTCCTAGATGACAATATTTTAATCCATTAAATCCATTAAGCTTTTTGTTACTTAATACAACCATGGTAAAATCAACATCATCTTCACTGTTTAAATCTTTTAGATATCCCGCAACAAAGGTTTTGTTTGTAAATGAACTCACTAAAATGGCTTCATCAGGATGTGCAACAGTTATAACTTCCCCCTTTTCAATTTTTCTAATACAATCTATTCCATTATTTTCAACAATACATAGCTCTTTTCCAACACTATCACAAGCACTTTTTGTCTCATTATCAACCTGAGTTGTTATACAAAGGGTATCTACAAAAAACTTGACTTTATTAGGGTTAACTACTTTTTTTTAATACAAACAGTTTGCTTTCGATGTCTTTGTTAACCAACAAATTAAAAAAAACCAGGTGATACACCACACATGCCGCATGTTTGCGTTTTACTGAAAGCAAGGTTTGTAAATGGAACCGTTCGAACTTGATGCGATAAGATAAGTGATTGCAGATAATGCACCTTGATATTAAAACACTTTTTTTGTCAACATATTTTCTGGAATCATCAAAACTGCGGCAGGTATGAAGCAATATTATTTTTATTTTTGTTAATATATGATAACGATTTATTGTTCAATAAATTATTCATGATAAATTGAATATATCAAGGTTGGTTAAACATACGTATTTGTAATAAAACGTTGAAATGTTATCATTCTTTTAGGTCCTTTTAAGTCTTTTTGTTTTACAAATTATTGAGAGCCATCAACGATCAAAAGCTTTTCCAATAATTGAATCTGAAAATTATTTACCTTCTGCTTGCCGTTCAAAGGGAAACGACCACTGCGCTTTTCCACTTTTAGTAACTCCATTGAATCGAACGCATGAAAGGAATCGAGCTAATGGTGGAGAACAATTTGTATAAATGGGGTCGGTTTAACGCGGAAGTGGAATCTTCGACTCTGGGTCATGAAGTTTTCCAATTCAAGGACGAAAACTTTTTACCCACCAATTAGGCAATTAGAATTCTTAAATCATAAATTAACCACGTTTCCTGTTTACCAAAATTGTTAGTTTTAATTTCGACACAACACACAGGTTGAAGGTTAAGTAAACAGTCAAGCATCAAAAATTGAAGCTTCTGTTTTGGTCGGACCGTGAAATAACATTTCGCTAAAAGCGTTTTCAGGTCAACGACGACTGACTTTGTTACTCCCACGTCGTCGCCAAAACAGGACCGTATTGCTGTCATTCAATTTCCTAAGCCGCATACATTTTAACGAGACATCAACATTAAAAGTTATTAGGCAATACAAATGGAAAATGAAAAGCACACACGTTTCAAAAAAAAATTTAAAAAAAATAAACATTTGAGAAAGAAATGTTAAAGAGAAACAGCGTGAAACGAAAACTGATTGCTACAGATTAATTAGAAAAACCATTTGATCTTTGTCAACCGTGTTAATCTGAATTTGCGTTAATGGAAATCGTGTAAATCAGATCAGTTCAAAAAACCTTTGAAAAGCCGTTATTCATTAGATAACAGTAGATAACGTTAGATTAAGTTAGACAAACTCAAAAGAACCGTAAAAGTAGAAAATAATTAAAGAAATTCAAACATTTCGAGTATTATTAGTGTCGTTGTTAAGTTCTGATGTGGCTTTACCAGCGAAACATTAAAAAGGTATTGCCGAGTTTTAATATCAGCATATCGACTATTGAAAAGATGGTGGTTCCATGACTGTAAAAATTATTTTGCAGATTTTTTAACATTAATGCATTGTTGGAAAAATCTCCAAAAAAGCAAAGAATGTGCAAAAAAGAATAGTTGTTTCCGTATTTGTTGCTGTTGGTGTAGTAGGTATGGTTTAGATAATGTGCCAATAATTATACGAAAGCCAGGGACTCCAAATAAGAAGGCGAAAAACTATTGAACAACTTCTGTACAGTGACCCATAATGCATCATACAAAATTGTTAACACTATCTGCAACCAAATATTTGGCATCCTTATTTAAACGTTGGTTTAACTTCCTGATTTATAGATGTCATAGAACCTTGTGGGGTTTTCATAGAAACGGGTTCAACATATATTAGGATATAACAAGTATATTAGATAGTATAGATATCTTCAAATCCTTAGATTGCAAATCTTCTACATACTTTACGACTGTTTTTTAGAAACCAAGACTATTTTTCATATTTTCAATCAATGCAGATATTATACTTCTAGCATTACAGTTTTAAATGAATTAAATCGAGCAGCTAGTCGTTATCTTTAGTTTCCAGGAATTGTTAAATAGAAAAACCAAATATACAGTTGAGACAAACTTTCACTTTTAGAATGTTTTAGTAAACGACTACAACACCATCGTTTCCTACACAACGTTAAGCAAAGAGAGTCTTATTTAAGGAATTCCTTTTTATGTTATCGTTACTAGGCTTAATAAAACCCAAAAAGCCTTTATCACAAAGCACTGTTTAAAGCTATTTGAATTTGCTGTTTATGAAGGCTTTACCATGATATGAAGCCATCAAACATTATTTTAATAAACACCTTACAGTTTAAAATTACTGTATTGGAGTAAGAATATAGCCCATATATTCACGTAATTATAGAGATATACTAGAGACTGACTTTTTGCACTTTATAATCTTTTTTCATTTTACTATCCTTGGTTTCCAACCCACACATCACATCTCATCATCATACTCTATCTTGCTTTGCAGTGCTCCAATTAAGACTTAACCTGCTAGGAACATGAGATTGAATGATTAGCATGAAACATTAACCTTTCGTGCTTGTGGTCGGATTAATAACAGTGCCCTCGTGGCTTTAGAAGTCCACAGATTAGTTAACTTTAAGAATGAAAGACTTTTTCGTTTATTAAGTAATATGTGGAGAAGTATTCCATTATTCATAGTGCAACGCAAATTCGCGAAGCGCTCTTTCATTCCCGTTCCACACGTAGAAAATATTTCCTATCATCTGGAACTTCATCCTGGCAGTTTCTGACAGATTATAAGAATTTTCATGAAGAAATTTAACGTTGACCTTCAATTGATTCAACATGAATTAAATAATAACAATATAAAATAACAGCAGTGCCACCAAAACTTCCTATTAAAGAAGAACAACAATCGATCTTTAACAACAATCTTGGTCAAGTTAATGCTTCGGTAAAGACAGCAAAATCTCCGATGGAAACTTAACAATGTTTCATAGGTAATATGTAATATGATTGAAATACTTATACGACACATAAATCAATTTATTGATCAAGAAAGGGCCAAATTTCTAAGTGAAAGAGATAAACGTCCTACTTTTGCGCCTGATGTAAAAGTTCTTATAAGGCTTCCTAATACCATTCTTGGTCACATGCAGTGGAGAAAATTTATGGCGTATTTAAAAAATACACGACTTCTTTTTTGAGTTACGAATAGAGCGGGACGTGTTAAGTGCGAAAGTTATAAAGTGATGATAAGTCTGCCAGCCAGAACAAATAAATTACAAATGCAATGGGAAGGATCTAAGAAAGTAGGAAAGAAAACATCAGATATCAATTACATACCAGAAGAATTAACCGGAAAAAGAAATCAGGCACTTGTATATGAAAATTTACTGAATCATTATTATGAAAAACCTGAAAAACCAGTAATAGATAGATCGAGCTTTACAAAAACACCATTATGATACTTTAAGTACAATACCTGGTACCTAACACAGAAGCTTGTGTGGAACGATGTAGTAATGCAAAATAGAAGTCTGATAGATATTGTACGAGCTTATTGGCAAATTGGAATGACTAGTATATACGCAGCTTTTATAACGCGTCGAGGAATATATAAATGAACCAGTAACTTTGGCATTCCGACTTTAATCTGCGCCGTTTTCTTTCCAAAGATTGATAGATATACTTTTCGCAGGTTGTAATGAATTTGACGAAACTTTTTTGGGTGATATGCAGATCATTCAATGACATGAAAATATCACTTACTTGCGACTTGTGTTTACAGCTATACATAAAATAAAATAAAAGCAATGAAATGTGAATGGGGAAAAACGTTCATTCACAGGAAAGTCGTTCATCTGGGACGTAAAATTGGACAAGGTAATATAACTCCATCTGAAGCAAAAGTAGCTGCAACAAAAGAATTTCAACGACCATTAACAAAAGGAATATTAGAATCTTTTTAGTGGAAATTGTCGTCCTTTAACAGACGCTTTACAAAAAGGAGCTAAAAATAACGTTGAAGAGGATGAACAGAAGGAAAATGCATTCAATAAGTTGAAACAAGCGTTTACTAGTAATAAAAGCAGTTAAAGATACGCGTTTTAGGCGAATTAGAACGTTAATATTTTTATTATTCCTTTCCATCTTTGGGAATTTAATTCAAATAAAATGATTATGTGTTGAAATCTGTTCTATGTCATTTTTCTTTTTGTTTATTCAGATTGGCGACTATGTTCTGGCCAATCTGATTCATCACGTTCACGTTCAATCACGTTCAAAGTAAATAATTGACAACAAGAAGGAAATTAAAACGTATAATAAAAAAAATAATTTTAGATGTAGGATTTATAAAATATAATTGACGTGGCAAGTATCCTGAAGATGATTACATTTAGTAATCGAAACCGGTAGAGCCAAACGATTAAATAATCCATCTCAACACACATAATTGTTTTATTTGAATTAGAACTAGAACGTGCCGTTAACTCATTTTATTATTGAACCAGATGAATAATAAAAATGCTAGTTTTAAGATGGACGTTTACTTTTGATGTCAGAAATGTGGATTTCAACCATTAAAAGACCAATTCATTTGATACCATCTCTCGTACATTGGTGAAATGATTAAGCTGAAATTCGGTTTTTAAATTCGCTTTCAAGACATATTTGCACAATTTCATGGGATCCAAACAACTTCGAGATTTTAACACTCCGTAATTTTCTGATTAGTTATGTGCTAAACGTTGTATTGAAACCATCTTTTTTAGTCCAATATATTTCTCTCTTTCACGCTGACAACATTTTCGAAGAACGATGAAAGATTTGAAAGAACCCAACCCTTGCGGAGTGGATGATGAAAACTTTATTTTCGTTTCAACTTCTTTTAGCATTATTTATGATTCTAAATATTCCATTTTCTATTTTGCATATATATTTCTTACTTTCACGATGAATGATTTCTTTAAGCTTCCCATTTTCTTTCAATATTATTATTTAACTAGGTACAGAATGAATAAATAATTTAATATATTAATTAATATTTTTCGTAATTAATTAATAGACGACGATTTTTTGCAACATTTTCCAGTTATTAACAATTTCTTGCTTAATTTTGGAATATTAGTTGTCGCATATGTTAGCATTAACTAATGTTATCTAGGTCGATAGATCAAATTAATGCTTTATTTAGGAAGATATATATTTAGTAACGAGTAACGAATGTAGTTTTCTTTGAGTCAAAGCTACAGATTTACTTGGATATTCAAAGTGTTTTAAAGTAAGTATAAAGTGTCAGAAGTTCTTTTTAAATTAACCACATAAAACTTTAAATTATGAAAGAAAACAACGCGGAGGAAATTTGTATCCATTTTTTCTTTTGTTGACAAAGCGTCCTTTCTCCAGAAAACGAAATAAAATTTTACGTTCTCACAACACCCATAAAATCTATAGATTTCTAATAAAATGCAGCAGCTCTAATAAAAACTTTTATGACACAGGAAGCGAGTAAAAGCATGGAATGGAAACAGAATAGAGCTGATCAACTGCTTTTCCTTTTTAATATCTTATAATAATAACTTTGTCAATAATGTTTTAATTTATTAGATAAGGTAATCTAATTTAAATTAAACGAATTTGAAAAATTTTTGATAAGAAAAGAAATATATTAAAGCTTTTTTACCTGCCGTGTTGGGGTCCAACGCTTCCAGAATCGTAGGCAGAACTAGCTGTTATGGCAGAGTCCTTTAGGGCTCCGGATTCCATGCCGAGGGGAGCTCCGCAGAGTCCTACAACAAAGGGAAAACGCCTTTAATAGCGCCACCGGCCGAGTTTCGCATTCAAAAACGTTGTACCCACCGGTGTCTTTATGCCGGCGGTTTGATATCCGAGATGCCTGCGGCTACCTCGGCGATTGTGATATTCTTTTGAGTGCACGTTTCACTAGGACGCCGAAGAGTAGAAAAAAAGCTTTTACAAATTTATGCATTCGCGAAGCTTTATGCCAGCTTTCGCAACTACATTTCTAAAAAATCCAACTCTTTTCGTATTTAAATTAAAACTAAGGGTAATGAGGCAAACATGCACAAAAAATATTTATTGTAATTATCTAGTTTAACAACGGGGTAATTTGAGTACGCGATTAATTATTCGGTGATAGAGTGGTTTAAAGTTGTCCACCCCATTTGGTCTCTGAGGGTTGTATTAACGACTGGATTTATCTTCGTATAATTAAATAATTCCGTGGTGTCGTTAGGACCGCGGCAATTCGGCAATTTGCGAACTCACGTCCGCGCCGGGGCTATTAGCTTTCGGGTTCATTAAGTAGAAATAAATTCGCGGTTCTAATCGACAATTTGTTGTATCCGAATTGGATTTATGCGCGCCCATTACGATACGGTTTAAAATAATTTGCAGCTCCTTTGGGAACATTATTCATTGCCGCGCTATTGCTCAAGCCGAACAATTTTCCCGGTGGAAACCTCGTTCTCTTTAGTTCTCTTTAGTTCGTCAGCAACTTTGGTGGAGGCGACGGTATTTTCTAAAGGAATATTTAATAGGTCTCCGGTTACTTAATTTGTAATTCGTTGATTAAACGGTCTAAGAGTTAAAAAAAAACTTAAAAAAATACGTCTACTAAATAACACTTTAAATTACATAAAATTTCCGGTTACTCCTCAGTAAAAGTCAACATCAATTTAATTCTAAGAACTTATAAATAATGTATAAGAGGAATCACGACTCTACTTCAACTCAAGATGCCAAGTAAGGTATTTTAGCTGGATTTGTTAGTCAAAACGAGAGATTCTTATTTCACTATAAAATAGTGTTACTTTTACTCTCAACTTTTCAACGATTGAGTGATGGTAGTTTTGACCCAAAATTTCCAACGTCTCCCTGGTATCCAACGCTGAAACGAAGTTAATTTCTATTGGAATCCGGTTCAGCTCCGGATTTTATATCTCCGGACTCGCGGCTCATAGATTGCCTACGAAGTAATTCGATAAAGTTCTCCATTGAATTCGTTAACGGGAAGTAGGTAACAGTAACTTTAATTAAGTCCATTGAAATCGACGCCAATTATACCTGGATTTACCTATCAATTTTTTTTCGCCTTTTTTATTTTTGTTAACACTGTTGAAAATTAATGATTAAAGTAGCACGAACGCGTTAGATAAGCGTATCGTCGCATTAATTTCAATCGCGAAACCCATTATCGGCAGTGAATTATGCATTAGAGTGCATTAAATCGCAATAATTATGCGTTATGTTGCGATTAATGTGGCGGTAAATATGTTTGAGTTTAAAGCTGGGGCGGTTATCGTATGGTCGATACGTACATATAATCTAAACGCATCGATATTATAAATAATGACGGTTCTGGGTATACGAGGAATTGGAATTGAAACTGCATGAATAGTAATTCCCTATTTATTAACCTGTTATGACTTAATTTCGAAACTGAATAGCATTATTAGATACGTTACAACATCAAATCCTATATTGCAAAGTATAAATATCATCAATGTTTAACTTTTATTTTAAAAACATTAATCTTTCTTTATGTTGATGACAATAACATCTCTCATTGAATAAATAATTTTATTTACTATGCAATTTAAAGACACTGCATGCATTTATTGTAACTAGAGCAGTAACTACTTCCATTGATTTTTTGATCAATGTCAGTCGTAATTAACATATCGCATGCTACCTTAACATTTATACGTACATGAGAAATTTCTTGCTCACCATGTAAAATGATTGGTAACAATTAGGAAACTACTATATAAGCTATTATAATCAAAAGTTTAAGAATCTGCACTTTTTATTTTGTCTTTGATCAGATTTAATCATATTTTTCAATTTCAATCGAGAAAAAGTACTAAAAATTAATAACGGTGATTAATGCAAACTTGAGCTAGTCAATATTGACACGTTTCATATATCAATTAGTTCGCTTGTACCACTTCATTAAATTAAGCTACGTCAGTTTCAATCGAGTTAATTCATGTTGTCGTAAGGTGTAAATTAAATTGAATTTAATCATTGCTAAAGATTACTTAAATTTTTGTGTGTGCCAAATCCGAGATTAAAAGTGTTTAAACAGTTTGAGGGGTTTAATTAGAAGTACCACGAGTCGAGAAGGGCTTTTGTTGCCATCAACTAGGGCGAACACATCGCGTGGGCCAACGGCAAACTTAGTTAGATGATTGAGCACTCTGACCGGAAAGGATTATACATTACCCGGCAACTTGTCAGGACCACGACGACGACCAAATATTTTGACCGTCCGACCTAGAAGCTCTAGGCCTTGATCGATTAATCCCCGCCGACGGCGATGATATTGCGACTGGTTTGTACCGGTACAACCACGGGGACAATCGAAGTAATAAATGTCGGCCGGATTTCTACGTCAATTTGTTCTCTTTTCCGAAGCGGGACGCGATGATTAATGGGAACGGGATTTGAAAAAATACGACGTGTGTCACTGATTTTCGGTAATTTGTCTTCTTTCTTATTGGAACAAATAAGTACGAGGATTAAATCCAACGTCAGTTCTAAGCATTTATATATTATTCATGAAAACTATACCTATACAGAGTGTTTATTACAGTTTACGAAACAACAACAAAATAATTAGCTTAAAAGAGATTTGTAGAACAATATACCTTGATTTAACTATTTAAATTTGGCGATTTAATAAAATACCGATGGTAGTTAGGTATAAATTAATATGCCTTAAATGTTTTAATAACACTGTGAGGTTGAAACTTGTATCGACTATCATAGTGAATAATGTTAAATGCCGAGTGTCCAGGTGAGTTATCAATAATTAACATTAGTATTTTAAATGAAATGTTTTTAGAATAATTGTATCGCTAACTTGGAGGATAAAATGATTTCTAAACTAGTCCTGAAATAAAGAAGCAATAACACAAGTTTTTTAGTTAGAGTTCCAAATTACTCATTTAATAAAATTAATCACTTAAAAGATAACGTTTATAAAAATAGAAATAAACAGTAGATATCGGTTAAACTGTTACAAAGCTTATACTAAAAACAGCTTTGGATTGGATTTCTGTTATCAATTCCATACAATAAACTGATACCTAACATTATTTTGTAATGTATTATTTATTTAACCCTGTAATTAATTATTATATGAAAAATTGTGTTTATATTTTCCCTCATAGTTTAAACATTCTATTTTTTACATTTATCTTTTCCAGCTGAAAGTAGTTGATATTGAAATTACTTTAACTAGATCAAGCAAGAAATAGCCGTTGTTCTGTGATTATTACTTATGAAATTTTAGAAAACGTTGTAAAATCTCATGTTTTAATTTCGAATGACGAAACTTTGCATAGATATAATCCTTAAAATCCACACAATCTATTAATAGGTAGAGCCAAGCTACTACTACTCGCAGAAAGTGAAGTCGTCGTCGTTCGATAAGACGTAAATTGCTAAAATTAAATTATGAAAAATGGGATAGGTACAGATAAGATCTCATTTATGTATTAATTCGAAAGAATAAAGTGCAGTGCATCAAGAGTTCAAGAGTTGAACACGTCACAACATTGTAACGTTATAGTAAATGTACAGCATAGAATATAACATACGTAATTATAAAATGCATAACTTTAAAAAACTGTACTAAATTTCATTCTAATTTCTACCTTGCAAACATACAGGTTGGTTACTGTGATCCACAACTGCATCTTGAAGTACAATCCAAAGCAGAAATCATAAATTTTTATAACGAAATATGTAAAAGGTGACCTAAACAATATTGATTAGACATATTGCTGCTATAAAATTGGATATTGAAGTATACTTTGGAGTCAGACAATATGGTTTTTTATAATGGATGTCACAGGAATCAACACTAACGTAATTTACATCCAACAAGATAGGAGAGTCACTTTTCTAACCTCTCTAGACTGTGGTCTAATAAAAAATCATATACTAAACAGATCACAACAGATTGGTCAACCAACGGTGTTACGCATTAGCAATATTAATGGAACTATAGTTTCATCATAGTCAAGTTACACCCAACCCAAATGCAGCGTAAACATCAAAAGACATATTACCCGACATAAAACGATCATACTCTTATCTGCCGTATCATGTTTTATCATACTATTTGTGTATTTTAGTTGCTTGTTTTTGTTTTCTGGGGCATTTCCCTTAATTTTTTACTATTTGTGAAAGCTGTCGAGATACTTATCCCTGAGATAAATGTATTATTTTTTCAATAATAAAAAATGGCTTGTTCAAGAAAACGAAATTTAATCTGATATTTTAACCCTTAATCGTAGTGGTATCATTCGAATCTTTATTTTTCAAAGAAAGTCACGACATAACATTGACACCAGCATTACATTAGCAAATGTGGTTGTTAGTGGTGTACACAAAGTATCATATGTTAGTGACATTGACAATGTCCCAAAAGAGAACTGTGATAACTCTGACCATAATAATGTCTCAGAGTTGTTAGAGGTTGAAACATGTTTGTGGCAAAATCAATGTAGCTGGTGCAAAACTAAAGTCCATCATCGTACAAACATAAACACAACATAGAAGTTAAAGTATGAATTTTAAAAGTTCGATCTCTTAAATGAATTCAAATACAAATCCCTTATCAATGTCTATCACATTTAATTTTATTAAGTTTTATTAAATATTGATGTTATTAGTATTGTTACAGGTTGCATTAAAAAAAATTTATCACGACTACGCCTCGATTTTTAATTTATATCATAAACATTTAAACAAACCT